AAATGGTGAATCAAAACGAATGGTACAAAAACGTGCTTTAGCTTATCTAGAACCGATTATTGAACAAGCAAAAAATCAAAGTCTAAGAGAAAATCGTGAAATATCAATTAGTATTTTTACACATGGAAATTTAATACAATCTATATTACAATATTATTTACAAAGTAATCCAAAATATGCATGGGTTATTCAACAAAATAATACTGCAATTAATGAAATTCTATTAAATGAACATGGAATATCTGCTGTTAAAATAAATGACGATAATCATTTGAGATTTTTAATTCCAGATATGCAAAATGAATCATTAGACAATTTATGACTGTGAACAGATAAATAGTTAATATTTTTTTCTTGTTTGATAGTTTGAATTCATGAAAAATGTAATAAATATATCGGTTTTTGTTTTAAATTGTAACTGTTATCAAAGAAATGTACGAGAGACTTCTTACTTGAAACCATTTCAATCAGGATATGAGTATAGATAATTGTTCCATTGACACACATACATAATTACTTCACATCATAAATCAATACAAATAATTCTAACATCTGTTGACTTGTTTAGTGGTTTGTCAATTGTGTTGAAAGTCGTTATCCAACGTGTCGCCATTGTTATACAAAATCATGTGCATAAAACAAATGAGGTAAACAACACTCTAATTAAGTTATCTGGATATGAAAGCCAAGAAGAACCAAATTCACCGAGACAAAAAAAAATAGAATCATAAGACTCGTATGATTTATTGAAATCTATTCAATTTATAAAATTCAATAAAAGAAAAGAGAGCTAGTATCAAAAACGTCGATGTCCAATCTTGAACTTCTGCTTATTAAATAATTTGAAAAAAATTGATTATATCAAAAAGTTAACCAACACGAATTTCATTTATGATTTCTTACAGACATTTCATAAACACACGTGTCCTTTCCTGATTTAGCACATATCTCTCTGATGAGGGTGCTCGAAAATCGTCATTCCGCATGAAAAATACAACCCTTACTGAATAAAGTCATGATTTCCGAACACCTTCACCAGAGAAATATGTGCTAATGTGTATGTGGTAAAGCTTTTCATGACATTCTCACCATTAGGAAGGCATGACTGTGTATAGTGTATTTACACGAAATCTCGAAAAAGTCGAGTAAAATACATCAATTCAAGCGATTTTTTCCTCACGAAGATTTTGCTTTCTCTATGATTTAAAGTCACTTTTATTTACAATTTTAAGCAAAAGGCAAATGTTTTTTTGCAGGTATCTATTCTCTAGTAATGATTTCAGGTTCAAATTGAAAAGATTTTTACTTGCAAGCAGTGATGTAAAAATTTTCATTTCTTGAGGGTGTGGGTATAGAAAAAAAAATTCAACACCTCACACTCCACACTGCAGAGATCTGAGTCTAAAACTCAAAATGCTAAGTCAATAAACTACTTGTCATGAGCTAGATTATGGTACTTGTTTTTGTGTACGATTCCTTCGACATATTCTCACAAGAAGAAACCCGACGATGTTAGGTCGGGCGATCTCGCAAACTACTCGATCGGACTTCGGCGGCCAATCCATCTTACTGAAAATTTCTAGTCAATTCACTTTCGAATATTACGTGAACAACGCGGTGATGCGCCATCTTGCTTGAGAAAAATAAAATTAATGCAAACAATTCTAGATTAATAAAAGAAAAAGTCAGACTAAATATATTACATAGAAATACGCTGAAATCCTTGAAAAATCACTGTTTCTTCTGGATGACAAATCGTATTATGTTGTTGCTTGTAACATTTTGCGACCCCATTCAATAATTGTTTGAACATCAGGTGCGATTTGGACGGCAGTACCAATATCCAAACCATATGATTGCCATTGTTCTAAACTAAGTTGTCTGGCACTGCCATTGACTTTACATGTAAATACAGCTTGTGTACCAGATGGAACATAGATTTTATTATTTACTAAATAAGGTACAAATAGATTGTCTGTATCACAATTATCAATTTTGTAAGGCGACGGATTGTGGTAAAGTACACAGGTGTTCTCAACCCAAATTTCATTCCAACCACTAGAACCTCGTGAAGGAGCGTAATCATCAAGACACACGTTACTACCGAAGTCGCCTCTATTTGCATCTGAATACACATAAATTTGATGATGATCTATTTTTGAATGACCTAAAAAATTTTTCTTGCCACCATACACATGAAAATTGTAACTATCTTCATAGAAACAACTACCATCATCATGATCAATGGGCCATA